CACCTACTCCCCTGTGTCGCCTTGCCCTCCCAACGACTAACTAAGTTTAACATAACAGACAAACGTTCAACGTACAATGATGATGACAAAACCTTGTCGAAACGTTGTACATTTGCTGTTATATTAAACTTATATTAAAGTTTTTCTTCATTACCCATTCAAGCCGTCTCCAACCATTATTAGTCTCAAAGTGGGTTCCTCATCATCGAAAACTAAAGGGTCTTTTACGTTTGGTGCTCACCAAAAGATCGTTTTGAAGATATCAACAGTAACGCGATAAAGTAAAATAATTCATAATAAAACATTATGTGATATTTATTTAGCGAGTTCTGCGATATTAAACAATATTTTTTTGAATAAATCTTCATCTTTATTTCTATTTCTCCATATAAATTCACAAAGACAAGAGTCGAGCATTTGGCGATGAGTTCCGCATTGACGCTTATTACTGTTGGTGGGCACCAAGCGGAGAAGATCCATAATAAAATTAATTGGAAATGTAAAAAAAATAATAATTGAACCGTGAGATTGTATGATATCAAATCTTATTTCAAACTACTGTTACTGGTGTTAGGCATATATTGTTTGATATAAATGCTATTTTGATTAATTTTATCGATTGTATACTCAGAAAAATGTGTCCTGTTTTCTTTGTTGCACCTTTTTGTCATGTGCTGTGTTTTAATTTTTGATCAGTGACACAAAAATTTTTGTACAAAGTTTTTGTAGTTCCTACCCATTTTCTTTTCCCAGTAATAAATACTGATGAATTTACTCGTGCTGTCACAGTACCTTTTGGTATGTCTGTCTTGGAGTTTTTAGTAAAAGTTCCAGTTAGGAGACGATCTCTTCATAACAATTTGGCAAGGTGGCTAGGGCGCTTGACTCGCAGGTTCGAATTCCCGTACCACCAAATATGCTCGCTTTCACATTGATTAAAAAGACGCTTATATAATTTCTATACAATAATGTGAAATTATTATGATTTGAATTTCGCACAAAGATACACGGGGGCTATCTGCGCTAGCCGTCCCTAATTTAGCAGTGTAAGACTAGAGGGAAGGCAGCTAATAATCACCACCCACCGCCAACTCTTGGCCTATTTTTTTACCAACGAATAGTGGGATTCAACGTCACATCATAACGCCCTCACGGCTGAAATGTAGTGTGCTTCTGGCAATGAAAAATAAAAGAATCTTCTATATAAGAAATCAGTATGTTCCTGGAAAAGGCTTACCTGAAACATTGGTTTAGATGTAAACTCCGTTAACTTAAGTTTTCTCGCGTTGACGATGTTGTTTCTGGGTCCGTTGGTGAATAAGAACACTAGCTGGTTCGCCAGGTTTTGAGAATGATAGTAAAAGTTAATTCAATTAATAATAAATATTGGGTGTTAAATAATGAAAATACGTAAATTGTATTATTAAATCTTATTATCTGATTAAATAATAATAATTAATTTACTGAATTTAGTTCAAACCATAACAGTCGTTGTGCATAGATATTGATGATACTAATAGCGCCCAAGTCTCTACGATATCGGTCGTATCCAACCAGCCTGATGAGCTATACCATTGGGTGAAAGGACTAGTCGGCACAGGATATAAGATACGTAGTACGAATCACATATATTCAGCTTTACTTTCACTCATGAGTTCGTAGAGTAACATTGAAATTGGAATTACTGTGTGATGTTCTAGCAAGCTGAAAGGACATATTACCCAGCACTGCAGACAAAAGTCTGTATGGAATAAGAACTTCTCCCAAAAAAATTACAAAGAGGGAAATGTTATAGATTTGGTAAACCTGGCCATTACAACCGAAACTGTGAAGAATCAACAGTTGTTAGTGCACCAACTAGACCAGGGGTCACCGAACTTTTTTCACAGCGGCCAGATAACTGAGAGAATGACGAGTATGGGCCACATAACCATTTTGTTCAATACAATACAGTGAATACACAAAATTTAAAGACAACAAACATGTTTATTTACCAAAAAGTTATCAAAGAAGGCGACGTTAGCAATAAGATAGTTATATCACACCCAGTGTGCACATATCCGAATCTCACAAACTAAGCAGCAAAAAAGGTTAGTGAGATTTAGAATTGCTTTCAAATGTTCATCAGTCAACCTCGTTCGATGTGCTGACTTCACATATCTATTTCTCTTCGGAGCTTATAAAAACGAAACAGGACTTTACCGCAGCCGACCCACCTCACTGCTGTGTGATAAGGCAAGTCACAGAATTCAGAATCAATTTCTTCAAGAAAAGCCTGGAACTGGCGGTGATTAAGTGCATGACCCCGAATGAAATTCACCGCAGAAACGACTGGTTTCAGTATGCAAGAAACATCTAAGTCTTTCCCACAGAGTGCATGCTGATGTATAATGCAGTGTATTAACAGAGCGCCCGGGAGTTGAAGATCTTCCAACTTAGTTCGTATCTGCCCCACCAGACCCTTCCTCACTCCAGCCATGTAAAACATCGAAGCTGATTCCACTGAAGGTTATAGTCTTGCAAAGTTTTCTGCACTTCCATGAAAATGTCTTCTCCAGTTGTTGTTCCGTGCATGCTGCAAACGGATGCCAACTCTTCTGTGATCTGAAAGTCCAAATTAACACCACGAATGAACACGAGAAGTTTTGACCTACTCAAAAGATCAGTAGACTCATCCAGCGCCAAAGAATACCATAAGAAGTTCCTAGCTTTCTCGCATATCTGTAACACTATGTTCTCTCCAAGTTCTTCTGTTCTGCGCACAACTGAAC